GTGAACTATGTACTGTTGCATGATTTGAAACAATGTAGTAACCATACACAGTGAATTCTTAAACGATACAGTAGATAATAGTTTACCCATAAATTCATGGTTTTTGTGCCACTTAATAGCAGTTAGAGTCTCACATATATGAGGCAGATTTATTAAAGTATTAGTTTGCTAAAACCTAGAAACATGCTCATTTAAGTACAGGAATTGTATCCCATACAGCTTAGAGGTGAAATGGGAGGTCTGGTCATGAAATATCAGACAACACATAGGCTTTTGACTAGATTCCAAATAATAACTAAGCATGAGGTTGGAAGTTCTCGATTAAAAACTGAACTATGCAGTTCAATGCATTTAAAAACCTTGAAATTTAGATGAATATACCTTAATTATGATAACTAAAGTACATATATGAGGTAAACAAAGCAAACAGAAAATATAGCTAGCTAATTTCTTGGGAAGACAGCGTTGAACTTGAAACTGAATTATCAAGGGATTTTGCAATACTACATATTCACTATCATTACGCTCCTTGAGGGTTTGACGGGATCGCTGAAATAAAACTTAGTCCTACCCAGTTTGTTTGTTCTGCTGAGTGAATTTAAAAATCTGGATACCTGTCACTAGATGTCTTATTTTCGATGGAACCCTCAGAGTCAAGCATAGTTGATGGGTGAGGCAGCTTGAATACACTAACGATAAAAACGTCGCTTCTAAATATTCATCCTTTAGGTGAGAATTCTCCTTTCCTCTATGTGTACTTAGAAACCAGAGTTGCCTGGTCACCTAATTGAGGCGGATGAAGTTCTAGAGCCTTTAGCTGATATAGTATCGACGAACAACTGCGTAAATTTACTTATCACATTGTTCGACCTGACCCTAATGCACAACCTCTACCAACTAAACAACGTAAGCACACCTAATTGAAAATAGTCTATCATCAACAAAATTCACATTGAGATACTAAGACAATAAACTGGAAAATATGTAGTAGTATGATCACCAGGCAAAATAACATCAAACGAACTAATAATATTAAAACAATATACAAAGAGGACTATGATATACTTCTATGGTTGGAGAATAGGTCATCAGTCTATTTCGGGTAGTCAGGACGCTTGTCAAGCTCTCGCTCGTGTGAGACACTTCTCTTGCGAGGATTATGTGGTAATGTTTTTTATTTTAACTGCAGAACACTCAAACCTTAGTATAGGCTTAGGGAAAATTCTAAGCGACTGTCAAACGCAACCGTTTCTAATGGGAAAATGATTGAATATTTTGACTTTCAAGGTCCCTACAGTTGCAGAATAATATGCTGTGTAGTGTAAGATCTCGGTAGTGATGCACATACGGATTAAATTGGACAAAATAAGGTAGTCCAGCGACAATAGCGATGTTAGTTTAACGTCAAAATACGTAGTAATATTGAAGAATATACACAATACCTGAAAAATTTAGTAACTTGCGTGAAACAATTCATGAGTACCAACAAACTCAACCCAGTCAAACACAAGATAACACTTATTTAAAATGTTGGGCCATATGAAAATAATTGCTTCTGAAACAGTAAAGGTTTTCCTGAAAGGCATAATACACAGTGCTATTCTCAGGTGATAAATCAAAAGTAGACAATTAAAAACTATGGAATAAACTATGCACGAAATTTTATCCTTTGCAAAAGGTAAAGGCTTCAGATAACTGGCAAGTATTTTGTTTAATGATTTTAGGATGCACTATTCTAGTGAAAACTAATGGAGACAATCGATTACACTTTGAGTAAATATGGGAGCAACCAGAATATAATTTTAGTAGTAACAGAAGTGATGGCCAGTATAAAACTAGGCAGTGTCAGAAAATTGATTTTAAAAAAATGAAAAAAATAATATTAACAAGCTTACTAAATCAGTAGACAAATACGATGCATATAGATGCAGAGTCAGGAAAGTATTACGGAACGTACGGTCAAACAAATGGCATGGACACCTGTACACACAAGAGGTGTTATGCAGGTCGCCCAAATCTCTTAGAAGCATCACGGAAGCACCTCAAATGCCTTCTATCATAGAATACCTCTTACATTGACCCGGGCCTATTAGATTCGTAGAACTTACGACACAATACTTGCACACTCCCACACACTGAGATAATGTGAGCTATTCAGATCATTTCAATAGACAAAATTGCATATATCTTTCAGAATAAAACCACCCTTCGTAATCATCATCTCAGTTCCAACCAATTCTTCCATAGTTTTGTAGCGACCCACTTTTATCAAGAGAACGAGATTAGTGCAATGGAAACAATTATTATGATAACTAATTGTACCAGAGATGGTTTTGCCGTAATTGTTTGTTTAACTGTACCAAAACACATACATTCTTCCGTTGCTTGTGACCTTGCACGAATTCGGCCACACTCAATAACCACCCTTGTAACCTGGCACGATCTCGGTATTCTTTCGGTACCACGATATCGCCAACAAATACACCTCGACTACAGCTATCAACTGCCTTCTGATACTTGGCCTACGGGGGATCTTATCGGTTAACTGGCACGTGGTCTTTCTGTGGTGGCGATTATATTCAAACGTGACTCGACGCCAGACTACAGTTTTTTGTCGTTCTCCACTCATTCTACGAGCCATAGGCAGGGGGTGAAGTATCACAATCAACATTAATATTAATATTAAGCACCCCATCTTCGTCAAACCTTCGGAAGTGTTATATGTTTTCATAGCCATATTTTCCAGAACGCGTAGGTAAGATAGTTGAATTACTTTCACAGTTTGCAGTGGTTGTTACTGAGACCGCTTTCTGCTGTAGTTCCACAACTTTCTTTTAACGATAAAAGACAGTTTGAGTAAAGGCCGGGTCTATCACTGACATCTTGTGTTACAGGGAATGTTGAGCGATCATTAAGTACTCTTTCCGTGTTCAAAAAACAAACAAATGGAGCTATTCCATGTAGTCTTTGCTCCACAATGATTGTCGCCAACGGCTGGCGTACTAACCGAGTCCTTCCTTCATGTGCTTCTCCTAAACTGAACTGTTGGGGGACTAAAGAGCCAGTGAGCCTGTTTACAGCCTGATATATCGTTTGTTTTTCAGCTTTCCTCGGCCCCAGTGTATCGAGTTATGTAACACTTCGTTTGCTTTTGAGGGAAGGGATATTTTGCGACAAGCTTACGGATAACTCAGAAGTTCATCACCCCAGATTAAAGGCATACGAAAACCATTTGAATACATGTGACCTTCGTCCTTAAAACATAAAAACATCAACATTTCATGATGTCTTATAAAATAAAAACACAGTGACAGACTATGTGAAGTTTATTTGTGACAAACGTTTAGGAGAACAGCAGAATTCCGAAGCATGTTGGACTGAATTGTTTGTACAATCCCTACCCCCTGAAACAGTTGTCTTTGAATTGTAGAAACGTACTCGATCTCAACATAAGCAAACGTAGTATGCTGATGTTTAAGAGCAATGATACTGCACCCACCTCCTATTTTCTGTGTAATACTAGTGTTATAATCTCCATCACAGGTTAGGACACAACCACTAATTTTTGTGGCAGTGTAGGTGTCTCTTTCTATCGACATTCTAAGCCAACAAAGTACACTCTGTCCTCAGATTTCTTTCCAGAATATTAGGTAGCCTGAATCCGGGACTACGTAAAATATCTTCAATATATACTTAAGGAAAACCGTGTATTATGTTCCCTTATCTTGATGAGGACAGTTGTTCAGAAAAGAGGAAATAGAAAAGTTTAAGGGTTAAAACACAAGCTCTGCTCAGTTCTTTTGGAAGCCTAAAAGTGTGACCTATGCAGCTCAGAAGGATTGATGTGTCGTATCATTCATAATCCTCATTTGAATAAATCACTAATTTGTTCTAGTACTAATTTACAGCTAAGAAGGATAGAACCCGGAAGATCTCTTGTAAACGTCTATGCAGACCCCTTCGTGGTTAGAATCAATAAACTATGAAACTCTTTACTCGAAGATACAGTGACTGCACCATTCATGGAGTCTTTCAGAGGAAGATTTGATGCTTACTTCAGTTCGTAGTTAGAGCTCATGATCACTCTAAGTATTACTCTGTACCGTGGCGTTGACTATGAACACCGCTACTGAGACGCACGTGCCAAATGACTCCATAAGATCCTTGAGAAGGCAAATATCAGAAGGCAGTTAGTGGACCAAGCCGAAATATATTTGCTGGCCATCTCGTGGTTTCGAAATGATACAGAGATCGGTCCTGGATACAAGCTTGGTTACAGAACGTAACCGAATTCGCGCGAAGTCACAATCAAAGTGTGTAAGAACAATGGATGCTTTTAAGAACAGTTCAACAAAAGCGCGTTAAAACAGTCACTGGGACAATTGGTTGCAATAAACCAATCGTGTTCTCGTGATAAAGGTGAGTCACTACAACTCCATAACGCCTCCCACCATTGCCGATTACCTTGTTTTACGCTTTAGCTTCGGTAGATAGATGACGGCGACTATGCCTTTCCATCATCAGAATGCTCTCCGACCACCCAACTTCAGATCATAAGCAATAATTTGTTCGCTGATACTACCCAGAAGAGTTTGAAGTAGTCTGGTGAGCTTCCTTAAAATCTTTTGAGCAGAACCGTTGAAATTCCCGGCATTGACTTACCAATTCCCATTCAAAATTCGTTTTTTTCACCTGAAGTTATTATTTATTGAATGCTTCTTCAATGTTGATGATGAATACTGTCTAATTTATTAATTTGAATAAAAGAGGATCTTCGTAAAACATATTACCACTGTAAATAGTTGAAACTCGCTTTGTAACGGATTTTCATATTTCGTTCGTTATTACATTGCACCTCAATTTTACATGTGTGTTTTATTTGGTCAGTTGTTTGGCGCCTTAAGAAGGTCACTGTGAAGGTTCCGTTACACGCGGCGTGAGTTGTCCCATACTTCTGGTAGGCTTGGCTTTTTATACTGACTTTATGTTAGGATTGTATTATGAATGATGATAAGCGGATAGTTCCTTGGGTTGATGCTAGTGAATTCAGTGACGTTGCTAGGAATGTATCTTCGTGCGAGACGTATAGACTTCGTCTAGCTTGGGAGACCATAAAAATATGGTTGTGTCGTATGCCAGTATCCAAAATACCACGGTCTATAATTTGCACTTATGAACTTCTAAATGCTTACTTTGAAAATTCAAGCCAAAGTATGGCACTTGCCCTCATGAGGTTTGTCTCGTTGCTATCTAGTGAGTCCCAAGACCGCGAGAGACCAAATTTTGCACTGCCCATTTTGTCTCTTGCTCGTGTAGCAGGCTTACCTAGCTGGCTGGCTGATCTGCGCAATGATATAGCACATGGAATAATACCGTCAACGGACACACTAGAAAGCGCTTTTCGGTGGTCACTAAAATATCTAAGTGAATTTTGGGCGTCCAACGTAAACCATAACGAAGAACAGTTTGTCGAATTAGATGGGTTGTTAAAGTGTCAAAGTTTGGCTTTAACTAAATACGTCGAAAATTTACTGCAAGGAGAAAAGACATCTCAACTCGATGTAAAAGAAGTGTTCAGGAACCGTTCAATATATGCTTGCTTTCCGTTGATAGTAAATACAATATGTAGTTATGGCTGTGCTGTGTTCGTTGGCGGAAGTCCTCTATGCATCATCGTTCAGAACCAGGCTATTAAACTAAAGCCTCTCTTTAGCACGATGCTATATCACAAGCTTGTTGGTGAGCTTGTTTTACAGTTCATTCTAGGGTTGAGAGATGATAATTCAGTAGACGACGACATCCGACTAGAATGGTGCATTGCCTGGATTAAGGCAATCAAATGTCGTGAGTCTGAAAAATCGATCCTGTGTGACTACGTAGATGGCTTGTCATTAGACTGGAGATTAGCACTTAATCATATTTTGAAACACATGTGTAATAAGTATCGTGATTTATTCATGGAATTGTTGATTATTCGGGATCCACCCATACCGCAAGACAAGTTTGAAGTGATCATGAGCCATATCGATGTGTTTTGCGGCTTCGATGTACCTAATACTCATGAGCTTCAGACACAAGTGCGCCGGGGACATCGCTGGGAGCTTGCTGACTCTTTGTTATGGGCAGAGAATCCGCTTGGAGCAATAATTCGTTCATGTAAAACACTTTTTTAACTCTATTTTTAGCCTGCCATGCCTCGACAAGTAGACAACATAAAGGAGTTCCTCCATATGACACAAAGGGCAGACGCCAAGTGTGAGTTGTTCCGAAACTATAGTGATTTTTTTAGCTGTTAAGATTAAAGAAAACAAAGACAATGTCAAGTTTAAAATCAGATGCAGTCGATTTCTATATACGCTTGTAGTCGTGGAGAAAGAAAAAGTTGGAAAAATCAAGCGTTCACTCCCACCAAGTATTAACACATAATTATCAACTAATTCTGCTTCTTTATAGATCTTACTGTGAAGGAACTGTAATATGTTAATTATAATAAAGGTTCCTATATATTGTATCTTTTTTGGTAATATCCGGGAGTCAGGGAAAGCCCAAATACATAATACGAACCAAACGGCGCTGAACAAAGATCACGTTGAGCAGAAAGAAATTAGGTATAAGACACTTTTAACTGGACAGTATCAGGAACCAAGTGAACAAATTAGAAGTAAAACGGTAAAAACCTACAGTTTCCAATTGACGCTAGCATAAAGCATTGAAAAACACTAATATTTGAGAGCATAGCGGTGAACAAAGCAAATACGATCATCTGCGTATATGATAGAAGGTTTAACGACATGAAATATTCGCTAGATATAAGTTGCAACTATCATAAAAAACACGAAAACAAACATGACACATAGCCGGTACATAGTCCCCTTAAGCGCGAGACAATGTAATTAGAAGCAATGTGGACAAGAGTGATAAATGTAGTGCTTGAAATTATAATAACCTAGAAACTGCGTCGATCGATTTGTTCCTAGGAAAACAGTTTGTACAATGTACTAGAATGTATGGATCAAATGAGAAGCAGATGCATAACACGACTTCCTTGTCTTGTAGTCCAACGATCTGTTCCTGGATAAACACCTTAGTTTGCGCGATTTATTAGAATGTATGGATCCAATGAGAAGCAGACAAATAACACGAATTCATTTTATCCTGCAAAGCTTGTTGTTCTTGCTCTGTTTAATTGTATCAATGGATCTGGTTGTATGACATTTAGTGTTTGCTTAGGCTTTTGTGTATGGGAAAGAAGTTGTGATTGACGATTATGGATATGTGGGACTCCTAGATCGTGTGTTTTGTGACTTGGCTTAATTTGTAGTTCTATGTAAATCGACATCTAAGTATGTGATACACTAGCTAACATAGCCTACAGTGGTTGTAGAGATGGGGATACGTGCGAGTGGGATAGGGTGTAGCTGAGGAATTTCCCAAGGGTCGTTTTGTTTTCAGGGATGCTTGACGCATTGTCTGCAAGCCTACAGGTGAATTTGGTGACCGTGTGCGTAGTGTGTGGTGTCTTGGCTGACCGATGGTGATGGGTTTTTGAGGAATCGCTGAGTTTTTGTGGTAAGTCGATGATAATTGTACTTATGTATTGATTGAAATAGGTTTCCTGTGTTCACGATGGTGATCGGTCGTATTTGTTATCAGGAGGTTTTGGTCAATGTTTGTGGATATTGGTGCGGAAATTCCAGGTTAGTTAGTTAGACGGTAAACTCTATTACTGAGTCAGTTCTTAATATTATTGTTGAGTATTTTCATGTTTCCCAGTAATGGTTATATGATGAGTGTATGACACCTCTTATGAATTGTTGATTCGTCTTTCACACTGACCACTATTTTATGCAGTGATTTTTTCTGTTAGTTTCAGATATTCGTGCCGGTTCGTTGGTAAGTGTATACATTTGAACTCCTCCTGATGATGAACTAATTGCGTGTCATATGAATTAAAATTGATCGTATTACTAGTCTGATAAAAGTCCGCTTATATATTTATTGTTCTGTTCAGAATGCATAGAATTATTGTTAAAGTATATTGAGTTTTAATTTGTATTGTTTCCTATTTCAATTGCGACAGGTTATTTCGAATTGGTTGTTTTCAGCATTCGATTGGCGAATGTTGATGGATGTGGTTTTCCATTTGGTGGTTTGTAGACTGGGATGTGTCCTACGAGTTCATAGTGCCACTCCATTCTGGCTGTCTGTAAAGAGTGTGATAAGAAGAGAATTGTAAGAATGTAAAAGGTAATATGTAATACATATTTTTGTAAGAAACGAAGTCAGTTCTGAATTGTCTTTACTGACTGTGGGGTTAGTTACAGGGGTTCGTGTCTTCAGACACTCGCATAAGTTTGTGAATAAATAGATTTGAATTCAGTTAGTGCTGATTGGAACGTAGTGTTTATTTGAAGTGTTGGGGAATTTAGACGAGAAAGACACACGGATGAGTTTGTGGTCGAGATGTATGACTGAGGAGATAGAGAGACTCAGTGAATTTGGTATGGTTCCTGTCAGGTGTTTGAAATGTTACGTGTACAATATCGACAGTTTTACTGTAGATTGGTTGGGGTTCTAGGCGTAGATTTTTGCTTTACGTGACCAAGATGTGTATTAGTGCGTTTTCTCTTATGTGATTTGACCTGCTCTATTGGACTTGTGTGGGTATGGATATCTGTTAGTTTTTACTGCTGCTAAAATGCTTATAGTTGGATACTAGCTGACGAACATCTGTCACTTGATGTAAGTCTCCTGGGAATTGTGCAGTTTGCTTAGGGAGGTGATAACATAAGTGGATGTTTTGTTGAGACGAGCGATATTTGGAGTGTTTGATTCCATAATAACCAAGAGACTCGTGGATGGATTTTTTCTTGGATAGAGAAACACCTTAGTTTGTGCGATGTATGAGTTTGTGTATTTAGTGTTCCAACAGAGCATGAAGAACACGGTCTGTAGAGTAGAGTGAATTCATTCTATTCATCGGCTTCTCATCAGCTGCATACAAATTAGAATTACAATTCTCAATGTAATTATCAACAATTGTTAAGCATACTTTATTTTGTGAAGTTTAGATAAATGTCCGAAACGTAACCGAAATCATAATAGTACGAAGAATAGGTATACAAAATACCACGTATTTGCTATATCATTCCAGGATAGATCAACACCCTTCCGACATCACCTCAAATCGCGTCTATGAATTTATATTTGCTTGCGGTAGCATGTATACAGGAGTGATAGATAGAAGGGCGTGTACTAGGTTTCTGAACACATTCCTAGGATCGTACGACTGAAAGGGAGTAAATTGTTTACAAGTGTTATTGTCAGACACCTTTTGGACAGTGGACACGGGGTGAATGTAAGCGATGCATTCAAAATAATTAACAGACAACAAACACCAAGGTTATTGCGTTTGGCAGAGGTGATCGACATCAAACGTTTCCGACCTGACCTATGTATACAGAAGGGAAGTGTGATTAACCTTCATTTGACATGATGGTCGAATGTTTATCTAATAATGTTCATTAGTTTTGATTTTTAATTTTTCTTTCCAACCCTGTCCCCAACTTCCTTAGCTTTATTATTCTTGTTGGTGTCCACATAGTTGTTTTCTTTTATGATGTTGAGTGATTACGCGACCAATTATTAATTTCATTACCTTTACATAACCTCTTTTACCTTGGTTATGATTACTGGTAATTATAATGCCTACCTTACTCTGAATTATTACACTCCAACATGTAAATACACATCGATCTTAACTATTTGTTTATTCATAAATTTTGTATCGGTATTCTTTTTACTATTATGATTTCGGTTACGTTTCTAATATTTGTCTAAACTTCACAAACTAAAGTATGCTAAACAATTGTTAATAATTACATTGAGAATTGTAATTCTAATTTGTATGCAGCTGATGAGAAGCCGTTGAATAGAATGAATTCATTTTATCCTGCAAAGCTTGTTGTTCTTGCTCTGTTTAATTGTATCAATGGATCTGGTTGTATGACATTTAGTGTTTGCTTAGGCTTTTGTGTATGGGAAAGAAGTTGTGATTGACGATTATGGATATGTGGGACTCCTAGATCGTGTGTTTTGTGACTTGGCTTAATTTGTAGTTCTATGTAAATCGACATCTAAGTATGTGATACACTAGCTAACATAGCCTACAGTGGTTGTAGAGATGGGGATACGTGCGAGTGGGATAGGGTGTAGCTGAGGAATTTCCCAAGGGTCGTTTTGTTTTCAGGGATGCTTGACGCATTGTCTGCAAGCCTACAAGGTGAATTTGGTGACCGTGTGCGTAGTGTGTGGTGTCTTGGCTGACCGATGGTGATGGGTTTTTGAGGAATCGCTGAGTTTTTGTGGTAAGTCGATGATAATTGTACTTATGTATTGATTGAAATAGGTTTCCTGTGTTCACGATGGTGATCGGTCGTATTTGTTATCAGGAGGTTTTGGTCAATGTTTGTGGATATTGGTGCGGAAATTCCAGGTTAGTTAGTTAGACGGTAAACTCTATTACTGAGTCAGTTCCTAATATTATTGTTGAGTATTTTCATGTTTCCCAGTAATGGTTATATGATGAGTGTATGACACCTCTTATGAATTGTTGATTCGTCTTTCACACTGACCACTATTTTATGCAGTGATTTTTTCTGTTAGTTTCAGATATTCGTGCCGGTTCGTTGGTAAGTGTATACATTTGAACTCCTCCTGATGATGAACTAATTGCGTGTCATATGAATTAAAATTGATCGTATTACTAGTCTGATAAAAGTCCGCTTATATATTTATTGTTCTGTTCAGAATGCATAGAATTATTGTTAAAGTATATTGAGTTTTAATTTGTATTGTTTCCTATTTCAATTGCGACAGGTTATTTCGAATTGGTTGTTTTCAGCATTCGATTGGCGAATGTTGATGGATGTGGTTTTCCATTTGGTGGTTTGTAGACTGGGATGTGTCCTACGAGTTCATAGTGCCACTCCATTCTGGCTGTCTGTAAAGAGTGTGATAAGAAGAGAATTGTAAGAATGTAAAAGGTAATATGTAATACATATTTTTGTAAGAAACGAAGTCAGTTCTGAATTGTCTTTACTGACTGTGGGGTTAGTTACAGGGGTTCGTGTCTTCAGACACTCGCATAAGTTTGTGAATAAATAGATTTGAA